GATACGTTTAAATGTAAATACTTCGGTCTACTTTTGAAATAAACTCGTTTCCGCGATTCGTTTGGTATCTAGTTTTGCCTCAAAATAAATTGAATAATATTAAAAAAAGATCAAATTTCGTTCACAACTTTTGTATTTTAATTTCGCATCGTTACTTTAGAATAAAATTAAAGTTTTTCCGTAAGAGTCTTGTGAAAATATTGAAATTTCTCTTATTTCCTACGAACATTAGAATAAATTAAAACGACGTCGATTATGTTAGAAAGCTACGAGTAAAACGACCACAAATTCATTTACTCGTTTAACAATTTTTGCATTTAGAAATATTTTTCTATAAACGTTGGATTATAAATATTTTAATTATGTGTAAATTGGTAGAGTATTGATTAAACAAAGTTTAATCAATAAAATATAATATTTGAAATGTTTTATTATATATGAAAATACATAAAATATAAAATACAAATTATGTCAATAAACTATTATATAAATTCTACTTATTAATGCAAGTAAAATAAATATAAATAATATAAAATAAATATATGTATAAATATTAGGTTGTTCTGAAAAAAATTACGGTTTCTTTTTTCAATAACAAATGAAAGACTGTTTTTTTCATATTTAAGATCCAAGACGTTTTAAATTATCTCGAACGATCGAATTTAATAGAATAACAATTTTTAAGTTAACAACTCATTCACTAATGTTTTTGATTTAGCCGTTTTTAAGCTTCAACTGGAAGATCTAATTATGTTATTATAAGTGCATCTATCAAATTAAAATTGTCAGAAGAAAATTTAGAAAAAGTAAAGTTACTATTGGCTAAAGTTACGATTTTCTTTTAACAAATCTTCTTCTTAAACGGCACATAATTTTTTTTCTCTAAATTTAATATATTTATTAATATTTTTCCTATTTCAATTGTTTTTCTTTTTCTTTTTTGTTATTATTGTTACATTAAAAATAATGAATTCGTTCCATTCAAAATAGAGATCGTCAAGGGCAACAAATAATTCGACCATTAATAAAACAATTCTCGTTGAAATATTTTACGATCCCAAGTATAATCTACGAATTCTGTGGACATTAATTCACCTGACAAACGGGCGCGGACGCGAATGCATTTAACGAACTTGCGAAACGAAGTTTCAAACTGCTAACAAAGCAAACGTCGCTTCGCTTCGCGAGGAACCCGAGCAGAAAGAAAAGTATGCTTTAGCGTAGCGTAAAAGAATCGAGCGTATTCTTCGGAAAAGTCGTGACAACGATGGTTATCGACGGTGTCCTTCGTATGATGACGTATTTTCTAAGGATAGAATTTTCTTTTATCTATCAACTTTCGGCCGAGAGAGATGAAAAATAATAAAGTGATTTTTATTTTTTGTCTCCCCCCTTCTTTATTTTCTGTTATGTAAGATTATTTCATGCTTTTCAGCACACATATCAAAAGATACAGACAATAAAAAGTTTTTAACTTAAATTATGCTTATTGTTAGTTTAGCAACATTTGTTGAACCGTATATTTTTTCATAAAATAAAAAAAAAATAACAATAAAAATAATGGTAAAAAAGAAAATTTGCATCGAAAAAAAGATGGCGAACAAAATATGCTCTACTAATTTACACACAGTAACTGTGTTTCTGTTTATTCCGCCCACTACTTGTGACTTGCCCAGGTATGCTCTTTTGTTGTATGAATTAATGAAACAAAGGAACCGAGAAGTAGAATAACTATGGAACAATCGCCGTGTTCTTCGATAGTCTTATATTTATACTTTTGAACTTCTTTCGTAATCTAAAATAATATTATTTGCGGGGTTTATAAATCGCATGGAAGAAGTTATATATACAAATCCATTTTTTATATTATGTATATATATCTTATATGTATAATATATATTTGACAAAATATCATTGAATATAATAAGTAAAACACAGTTTCTAATTAAAATATCGTACATTTAAAACAAAAATACTTATTTAAATATTATAATTTAGAATTTGAGAACAACAAAATATATTAATTACAATAATCTTGAAATAATTTAAATGTATTATAAAAAATACTTCAATGATTTCTAATTTCGTACTTTATTAAATATAGGTATCATACAAAACGCGCGAAATTTTGTCCACATCTGTTTCTGGTTGAAAAATGAAATTTAAACATAGAATAAAGATGCGCGAAGACGAAATAATATATAGTAGGAGGATTCGGAGAGAATCGCTTAGGAATGCGGATAGGCTAGAAAGCGAGCCAGGCCTCTTGAGTTCTCGAGCAGCCCGAGTTGCACGTGGGTAAAACAAGGGCACCCACCGTCATCACGGATACGTCGAGCAGTTGTGAACTGAAAAGACGGATATCGGCGTTTCGAGATACTCCAGAGATCTGATCTTCTCGTTCTTTCGCGAAGTCATCCCAACCCACTCGTCGATCTTTGGATAAAGTTTCTTAAAGTATGTGTATCTCGATATATTTCTATTCATTGTTAATTATAGAATACGAGAAAAAGCAAATTCTACGTCTTCGTTTCTATTTTTTATTTCTTTCTCTCTCTATTTCCTTTTTTTTATTGTTGAATTCAAGCCGTTAATTAAATTTCGCGCTATTCCTATTTCAATTTACGCGTACCAATATTGCGATGAAGAATAATACACTATACATAAAATACATATGTATGTATACTCGATTTCTACGTGTATATATATGAACACATTTTTTTATACGACCCTCCTTGCATTTTACCATTTTTTTTTATTTTTTCATATTTCTTTTTTTTCCTTTTTTATTTTAATTTTAATTTTATCATTTTTTTCTTTTTTCTCTATTTTATTTTTTTTTTATTACGAAGCGATCGTGTTCGATGTAATCGATAGAAACGTATCGAACGAGTAACGTGCGAATGGCGTAACCGACGCGACCAATAGCGGAAGAGATTCGTTGCATTCTTGTGACCTTAATATAAAACATGAATCGAACTGGTGAGAAAAATAATACACAACGATCTAACCGGAAATTTTTGACTCCCTTTTTACTCCTTGTAGATATTTTCTTTAAATTTTGTACGCAAACGTGAAAAATAAAAAAAATATACATACCATAATAAAAATATCCTCCTATTTCCATTTGTTTTTATTAATAAACGTGAATTCGTTATAAGTCGATAATAAAAGTTAGTATCGATTGTTGGTGTTCGTTCCTGAATACCGGTTTATTAATAGAAAGTAATGTTTCATACGAATTTATACGAATTTATACGAATATAACGACCTATTTCCGAAATGTGTTGTATTACAATAGCTTTTGTACTTTCATTGAGGGAATAATAATGACTGACGTATATACTATAAGTTAAAATCAAAATAAACTATGATCGATAATCACAATAAATTCATTGGGAATTAATAAAATTTACGAATTAACACGTTTTATAATGATACAAATATGGAAATTATTCGTAACATAATTTGTAATATTTCGTCGATAATATAACAAACATGTGCGTACAAAAATACGATAGAAATAGAAGATAGAAACTTTGAGAATGTATTCATAATTAATTTAATATTATTTCCAATATAGAGTTGAAATATTTACAAAAGTTTGACAATCACTAATTTGACGAATGGAAATCGGCATTCTCACAGAGAGAAATATTTTTAAACATTTCTAATAATTGCCACGATAAAACATACATATATATCATTAAAAACAACATATCTTTTCAATAATTTATTTTCATAATTTTATATGTACTTTTTTCACATCTATTTGATTTAAATCGTAGTATACGTTTGTAATCTGAATTATTTTTGAACATCCTATATATGTATACACATACGAGAATGTTTTATAACTTTTTCTTGCTTGATTATTTAGACAAAAATGAATTTAACGAGAAAGAAATTAAAAGTATGAATTAAAATTTAAGCGTATTCACAGATCCCATTGAAAGATTTTCATGTATATTACATGCAGTTATGAGAACTTTTTGTAGTCTCTCTGTGTGTTGTTTGATATATTCATTAAAAAGAAATATAAAGAGAAGGCGACTAACATATGAATGGAAATATGTCGAACAAATTTAAATCTAAATCCTATTAAAGGATTTTAATGTTGAAGTTCATTCTAGGAAAAGACGCGAACACTTTTCTCTCTTTCTCTCTCTCTCTCTCTCTCTTTCTTTTTCTTTCTTATACCCTCTCACTCACAAAAGTGCAACGTCCGTGTCGATCGGACAAGAACTTCAACTTATTATCGACGCTTTAGCAGACCAAGTCTCTCTAGCACGAACAAAGAATCATTACTTCTCGATAATATGTCCGCATTCCTCGATACGATAGTATGTAATGTTATAATAATAATAATAACTATTATTATTATTATTATTATTATTATTATTATTCTATAATTGTCGTGTATGCATAACGCGATATTCATACCTATATATAATATTGGTTACATAAAATTAACACCGATCGTTTTCACCGTTCACCTTTTAACAAGTTTACTTTTTTCCCCAATAATCCTGTTATGTTGATTCTTTATCGTTGGTAACTTAGTCAATGAGTATTATTTAAAATATCATTAATATATATCATCATTATTGAAGATATTGAAGATTAGAATTTAGAACGTGTAAATATGGCGCCAAATTTGCTAAAATTATATTGCTTAACGATTGCCAATCGAACGGTGGTTTAACTTTACATTATAACTATCGAAATACATAGGAGAAGTGATAGATCGATCTATCGTTCATCAAAAAAGAAAGAGAGAAACAAAGAAAGATGATCATAAATAATAAGAATAATCATTATTTTCGATGATAAATATACCATCTAGTATAAAAAAAGAAATATCGCGAATACGAAGCGACAGGAAGGAACACGAAAATAAGTGTTGTAATCACTTGGCGGTATAAAGATAGAAAAAGGACAGAAAGAGATCTCGATAACAAACATGGTCACGTGACACTAGATACGAGAAGTATACTCACACCTCAACGCCGCTTTCCGCATCAATCGAGATCCAAGTTGTAATCTAAAAAAGTCCTCGTCAAGGTTGGAGCAAAAGAAAACGAAGGAGCAACCGGATGCTGTGAGAAGAAGGCTTCTTCTTCGTACTTCGTGGAAGACTCGAACACTCTTCGTTTCTCCGGTAGATTTTCTTCGAAGAATGGCACGGAAGACGAAAAAAAGGGAGATAACAGACAGATAGAAAGAGATATGAAAGGGAAAGAGCGTGAGAAGGAGAGAGATGGGGAAAGAAAGAAACAGATAGACAGACAGAGAAAGAGAGAAAGAGATAGAGAGAGAAAGGAAGAGAGAAATAGGAAAAGGGAGAGGGAAAGGAAGAATGTGACACACGCGAAATAATAACGAGAGACTCGGCCGATCATAAGAGTTTACTATATAGCGAAAAACGTGAATGCGTCGACGAAACGATGGGAATATCCGTGTCACCGTCGTCGTCGTCGTCGCAGGGATACCGAACGAACCAGCACCGGCGTCACACGACGCGATCTCATCCCTACGACGGAGCACGGATGACTGACGGACGGTTCGGTCCACCCCGCCAAGTGAGTTTACTGCGCGCACTGTCTAATCCCCACTCTTTTCGTTATCCCCACTACGCACGAGCATCGACGCTTCTCAGCTACCCCCACCACTTGGCTACCCATTGCAACGCAGCGCGCTCTCAGTCTCTCGACGACCGTTCGACTATATACGTCTTTTCTCTTTCCTTCTTTCTTCTATCCTCTATCCCCTCCTCACTTTCTCTCTCTCCCTCTTTCTGTCCTTATTTCTCTCTCTATCTTTGCACCTTCGCTCTTTAAAAGGAAAAGAGACAGAATACGATAGACGTATGGACAGCAACGAGTCAGGTTGAGGATGTTCCTCAGTATCGTCGTAATGTTATTGCTTCGCCCCAAAATCGTATATATTTATCATTTGCCGCTACATAATAATCTTGTTTTTGATTAACAATATAAATTTACTCTTTTTTCCATTTCCCCCCCCCCCTTTCACACACCTCTATTTTTTCTTCTTTACTTTACTTATCTTCCTTTTGTTTTTATATCGCTTCATTTCCTTTCTCTCTCTCTCTCTCTCTCTTTCTCTCTCTCTCGCGAGCGCTATTTTTCCCTTTACTCAACGAAACTACGAAAAGAGTCGGGAAAGCTCCCGCCGGATATTTGACCCAGAAAAGGTACTGTCGCGAACTGAGGGAAAATGATTTCCCGTTATGACTCGTAGGAAGTTGTCGGTTTTTTTATATTACAAAAGTCAGAGAGTTTCAGAAATATAAAATAAGGCGGGATTTTCGAAAAATTGTTAGATTTCTCGTATAATGATTGATATTCGTGTATGCTCATATTCTAAAGGAAAGAAAATTAGACGATAAAATTTCGAAGATAAAATATATAGTTTAAATTTATCGAAAAGTACTTATACAAGTAGAGAAAGGATCGATTCTTTCCGAGTTTTGTGATTTAAGAGAGTATGACATGAAGGGTTCTGGAAAATCTTGAATCGTTCCTGAAAGTTCCGGCGCAAACTCGTCACTTCTTCCTTTCTTCTCGTATCTACTCTCTTTTATTCGTTTGGACGTAGCCACCAGCCACGTTGGTGAACTTGGAACGTAGGAATAAGTAGCGGAATCCAAACCTTTCTCTCTCACTCTTTTATCAACTCTTTTTCCTTTCCTTTTTTCTATAGTATAACAGTACGGATAAGAGAAAGAGAGAGAGATAGGGACAAAGAGAGTACAAGTGGAAGTGAGAAAGGGTAAGTTAAAAAGAGTAAGAAGGAGAAGAAGTAACGGCGCTACAAATACCTAAACGAACCTTAAAAAGAATGAGAGAGAGAGAGAGAGAAAGAGAGAGAAACTTCCTGGTTCTTTCTTCCACTTTTAGTCTTGTAATTATGGTTGTCGTCGTCATCTTCTACGTCGATGTAGCCGTTGTTGTCATTGTCGTTGTCATCCTCGTCGTTTTCATCGTCGTCGTAGCCATCTACATGTAGCATGTTTTCCTGTTACATTTCCACTGAAATACGCATGCGTGCACAATCCCTTCCAACGTTTAGACAATGCGGTAATAAAATTTTCTTATCCCTCCATCGTGAAAATCGATGCTACGGCGGGGAGGGCTGCGCAATCAAACGTCTTTTATAAGCTAAGGTATTTTTATGAATTTAATAAAGCTCAGCTTTTTACAGTAAACTTCTACCTTAGCGGTGTCCAAAACGCTTTAAACTTAAGGCGTGCAATTTTTAATTAAATGTAATCATAATATCCTCTAACGTCACCTTACCTATTCGTACCTTTTTAGTCAAATAAACGGGGAAAAAGAAAGATGGGATAATAAAAGATCGTAGAGAAACAAAAAGTTATTTAAAAGAGATAAGAAAAATGAAATGGGAACGAATTTTTACGTAAAAACGAACTAATTCTATATTAGTATTTAACGAATATTTATTCTTTTTATATTTAATGAGATCGAAATATAATTGAAACGATTTATTTTCTTTTGACATGTACAAAATGTTTAGTTGTATCTTTGAGAGACAGATGGTTAACGACGGGGATGCCTAAACATATGCTTGAATGAACGAATGCTATTACCTACTCTTTGCGTGACTTCACAATCGTGCACGCATGAACGCATGTTATTCTAATAACATTCTCTTATCTTTCGGGACAAATCCGAAATGTGAAATACACGCGTTTTTGTATACTAATTTAAATCACTTCTGCAATACGTGAGATAACGTTTTTGGTAATTGTTATCACGCATTTGAACTTATATACTAATTGTAGGACGAGTAACGCATAAGAATGTAAATTATTAAAATGTCTTTTTTTCGAGAAAGAGAAGTCGGTGATATTTAATTATAAAACATTTTACAATTTACATTATTCCTTTTATCCTTTTTTTCCAAGTTTTTTTTTGACCTGCTTACATTAGATTCCTTTTTATTTGATTATAAATACTTACACAAGATTATTTTAAAATAACTCTTTGATAAAAAACATTAATTTTCTTAACTTACTTAGCATTCGTTGCATCTAATATCATCTTGCGAAGCACCTTATGCTCTTTATTTATTAGTATTCTTTCGATTATCGTGTTTAAAATACTATAATATTCGAATTAGCAATTGTTGAATTTTTTGAATTAATCAAAATATAAATAAATATTTATGTAAATATGTATGTATGTATGTATATATATAACATATTGATAAAAAAGTAATATGCAAAACAAATAACGATTATCATAGTTTACAAATACGTATGTATAATACATAGGTCGAAAATCAATCTAATGTAATTTATATGCACGATCATCGTTGAAAGAAGACGCGAGAAGCATGGTTGATCGAACGACGCTAATAAAGATCGAAGAAGGGAAATTCCGTTCGATATCCGGCTGTTCGTATAAGCATAGATAGTGATGCGGCACACTGACGCCTTTTTCGTCCCATCATTCTCGTTTTCTCCATCTTCTTCCTTTTCGAATCGATATCGTCAACCGCCCCCTTTGCTATCCAAGACGTCTAAGACGACGAATTAAAGCCGAACGAGGTGATCCGGGTGAATGGAAGGAAGGTCTTGGGATAATGGAGAGACGAGACGCATTTCGCCACGAGATTTTCGGGACAGGATGATCTTTCAAGCCGAAGGTAGTAAGTAATCTTCGTCTTGTCTCGTATAACATTGTCTCTCTACGTAATAATAATAATAATAATAATAATAATAATAATAATAATAATAATAATAATAAATAAAATATCACGCATGTTATCATACGCTCGAAAATTTCACATTTTCTTTTTTTCTTTTCGTCTTTCGATTATTAGTATAACAAGTAAATAAAGTTTCCATTCTTTAATTAATAAATAATTTTTAAAATATTTTTGTTACCTTGTAAAAGAGAAATATTTTAAGCATTTATCTTGTTTCCACGGACTTTTTTCCATTAAATGCTAAAGCTTTTTTTTCATTTATAGCTTTACATACTTAAAACCTGTGTAAATTTGCATTATGCAAACTATACGATTAAAAGTATGACTCGACAGTTTTTTTTTCTTTCTTTCTTTTTTTACTTTTTTTGAAAAAGTTACATTATATGTACTTTTCTCGTTGCTCGATTTAGACGTTTCTTTCCACATTTACTCTTACGATATTTTTATACCTTATCTATTAATTTTATTGATTTTCAAGAGCAAATGTTTTCACGAAACACGTGGAAGGGAGAAGGACAGTCGTGAAAAAGCAAAAGTTTAGAGAAGGACACGTAATTAACTTTTTAAAAGTTTCTCGCTTCCAAAATTTTTGGAACGTGCCGTTAAAGTTGCATCAACCACGAACGATGTGATACTTTCGGAGAGCCAACTCGTGTATTACATCCGTCGTGCTCGTCGTCGTCGGCTGAAAATTGTTCAAAGTTTTCGAAATCATTTCAGCGAGGAGAAAAAAGGAAGATTAATGAAAATAAAAATAAAAAAGAATGACCTTGATTAATGCAATAAAAGATAAAAAGACAATTGTTTCAATCGTTGCTAGGAATTTATTTTTTATTTACTCTTGTTACATGTAGTATCTTTTTACAAATTAACACTACTTTACCTTACCTTTTTCCGATAAATCTTTTGTACGTGAAAGCCTCTGGTGATTCTTCGTTCTAATTATTTTTCTTTCTCTCTCTCCTTCTTTCTCTCCATGTTCATCTCCTTGTTTCTCTTTATCTTTCTTTTACTTTCTTCCGTTTCCTATTTCGACTAACGATATTTACAATCCATGTTTTTCTACTCGAAGGAATTTCATTATCGGTGAAACGTCAACAAGTCCCTTTCGTAACCCTTTCGGACAGTAGTAGGTTCCATGTACACGTCTTTTCTAAATTGCTTAGATACAAGTGCATGAAAGAATAAAAAACTATAATAGTAAGAAAAGAAGCTCTTTATATACTTACTTTAATACTCAGCTTCTTTTTTAATGCCACTAAAACTACGGAGAAAACATCCGTGCAATTTTCTTCCGTCTAACGTTCTCGTAGCTTAATATTTTTGTTACCTTATAAGAGTGAGAAAAAGAGAGAGAGAGAGGGAGAGAGAAAGAGAAAACAAAATGAGAGATATTTTTTTTATCTAAACTGTTTAGCATTCTAAATGAAAATAAATGAAAAATTATAATGGGTAATATTTCTCAATTCATCAATTAGGATTAAAACAAGTAAATATTGCGATTAGAAGA